CTTCTAAGAAGCAACTCGTTAGAGCATTTTTTTCTTGGCTTGACACTTCTGTTCTAAAACCATGTTCTCTTTTTCTCTGTCTTCTTGCATCGGGTATATAATAATTACATATACATGTTACACATATATACGTGTATATATTGAGAAACGTAAAGTGTATTCCTAACTCAGAATATTTTGACTAACAGGTATGCAAAATGAAATAAGAAATCACTTTTGGAATTGAACAGGAAACACAGGAAGGATTTCCTGCTTGGCCCAACAAACACAATCACATCCATAAATACAGCCGCTGGCACTTTAATAAATAAAAGAATAAACACAGGACACGTGACTTCACTGGATGGCCATTTGCTGTTGCCAGATGCTGAGCTATGGACTGACATTAGATATCGATGCATAGAGCAGTTGTCTGCAAACACTGGTATTTGTTGAGCAATAGTGGACGTTACCGCCACTGGACATTTTCCCTTGGTGGATATCAGCCGTTGGTGGGGGCTCTCACTGATGGACATTAGGTATCGATAGATATTAGGTATCAGTGAACATTTGCTCTCTCGTGAGCATTAGCCAACACAGAACACTGAGCACTGATGGGCAAGGCCCTATTAGCCTGTGATGACCTCTCCTGTCATGGTGGACATTAGGTAGCAGCAGTCAGGCCTCTGTCCCAGGCATGCTTGGTGGTCTTGTGCACAGAAACCTCCTGTGGCTGGTTTGGAAGCAGCTGGTGGGTCCTAGTATCTGTATCTTCACCTGTCCTCTCTGAGAGTCCTTTGGCCATGACAATCTGGGGACATCAGGGGTGGTATGATAACACCCATGGAGGGAAATGCCCGGATTTGAAAGAATAATTGGCTCCCAGAGGGATGACATTACATACAAATTTACAGACTCTCTTCTGCCATCCTGACCAACACTGGGTGTTTGCTCCTTCCTTCTCTGTAAATGGTGTGATTAAAGCACAACGGGGCTGGCCTCATGGGCAGTGGGACCTTAGAAGGGCCTTGGGCTTGGTTTAATGTTCTGCTCTTGCCATCTTGACATTCTCAATAATTTTGAATGAGTCTCCTTATTGTCATTTAACACTGGGTCCCACAAATTATCCTGGTCACCTGCCATGCGACCTTGGGCTGATCTTCTCTAGGCCTTAGTCTCCGCATTTGTGAAATAGGGTCATGGGGGAGGGGGGAGGACTTTGACTTTGATCTTCGGCTTTTCATGCTCTATGATGTAGAACCAGTGGTCTGATTGGAAGTACTTAGAATTGCATAACTTCCCTGATTTATTTTCAACAGAAAAAGAGATGGAATCCCAGGGTTTTTTTCGATTTCTCAGAGCACCTCTGCTCTCTGACGTGTGGGATCTGCACAGCTGGGCCAGCCACTGAATTAGGACACGCAAGATTGACTCACCATTGGTCAGATGAAGCCAGGCCCAGGCTGGTATCCTCATCTGTATGGTGACAATATTACCTGGGGCCGTTGTGGTGAGGAGGAAAATGGTATTTGCACACCAAGTGCACGGGACATGTGTCCAGTGAGTGACAGCTGTATTGTTAGTGGAATGCAAGGAAATGTGTGGGAGCCAGTCTGTGCCATGATGACAAACTGTGCCTCAGTTGTCTGCCCATCCCTAAAACTCAACTGACGTGCGCTCAAGGCCTATTCTATGTTCGGCCCCCAAAGCAAAGATCCTGTGCGTTAGAGTATTGTTCTGCTACTCTACAATCCGAAACCTTTATGACATTCTTCAGTCCTGAGTCAGTTATTGAAATATGAGTCTAAGACTACCTGATTCTGTAATCTATCTCCTAATTCTGTGGTTCGGTGAAGCTGGGACCAAGCATTTATTTGTGCCGGGCACGCACTATGCTTGATTCTTTACAAACATTACTTCATTTACTCATGCAATCCCGTGGAGGGAGATATTTTCATCCCCCTTCTCCAGGCTCAGAGAGGTAAAGTGATGTGGCCAAAGTCACACAACTAGTTCGTGATGCACCCAAGATTTTAAATTAATCCTTTTCTGTGAACTCTAAAATGGAATCTTTGCATTCATCTCTTTAATTCTGTAAGGTTCTAATGTCCCCATTCTCGGCCCCAGGATCCCAGGAGGGCAGACTGTAGCAGCATGAAGGCAGTGTGGCTAGGGGATGGAAGTGCTGGGCAGGTCCGCTTTGGCCTCCAGGGGCCCTGGGCCTCGCTCCGCAACCCCTCAGACCGGGGGTGTCTGGCCATGTGCGGCCACGTGGTGGCGCTGCGGGCTGGGAGCCTCCGGAGGGGGCTGGGTTAAGTGAGGGCCGCTGGCCCGCGGGGCTTCTCCTCTCCCTAGGGTTCGCAGGAGGCCAGGGCTGCGGGACGTGCGGGGTAATGCCCCCACAGCAGGCACGGTGTGACGGTCCCATCCTCGCCCACGGAGCTTCATCCCCGCCGCTTTTGCGGATGTGAAGCTGCAGCCCCGGGCATTGGTGACCTGCCCCAGAATTCACGTGTCTTCTGCAGGAGGGCCTGGCCTCCCCACCCTGCCTTGAGCACCGCTTTGTCCCCATTTTAAAGACACCTACATTCCATGTCCCCCCAACTCCCCCCCCCTTTCAAGGAGGACTTCGGGAGGGCCCAGCCTCACTGCGTTAAAGTCCCTAGGATCCCTCCCCTGGCCCTGCATTTGAAGGCTTTCTTGTCCCAAGGGATGAGGGAGGGGTGCACAACCAATCTGAGGACTGTGAGTGCCGGGGTCTCACCCCGATCCCTACTCCCATATTAACTGATGGGTGATAGCCTCCAGCTCATGGAGCCCAAGCCTGGGGATGGGGGCAGGGGTTAAGCGACATGATGGGCGAGCTTCCCAGACATACCTGTAGCCTGAATGTCCTGGGTTCTGTACCATTGTTCACCCATGACCCCCTCCTCCTAAGTGTCATCCCCCCTCAGTCCAGGTGCACTGTCCTTCTCAGCTCTGTGGACCTGCCTCCTCCAGGAAGCCTTCCTATCCCCACCACAGGGCTCTCACAGCTCCCATGCAGCCTTTATGGTCAGGTATCTTCTGTGTGTCCTTCCCACTCACACCTCAAGAACATGAGTCCCCCGGCACAGAACAGAGAGCAGAAAAAAGCTTGTCATTGTCGGTGATGATGCTGATGGATGTTCCCACAGACCTTGGCCAGCTAGAAGGAAAAACTTAGAGACAGCAGAGGCATTCAGATGAGCTGCTAGCAAGTTCCCGGGGCTGGAAGTACGCAAACGGGAGTTAGGGTACCGCAGCAGTCAAAATGCCAAGCAGGAACCGTGTACTGCTGGAGCTGGCGCTCGGGAGCTCAGGGAAGGGGGGCCTTAGGGAAAGTTTCTGAGGAGGTGAGGGAGGAACCAGGTCTATTAGAGTGGGAAGGAGTTGAGCGGCAGGGACAGGCCAAAGGGCAAGGCCCCCGAGGAACAGCCTGGGCAAAGGCAGAGGTGTGTTCCTGGAGCTGGGGCAGCAGGGAGAGGGGAGATGAGGCTAGAGAGGGTACCAGCCACAGTGAAAGGAGCAAGCACTCCCGAGTAACTGCCTCCCTCGTGTCAGCTCACCGTCCAAATCCCACAAGGCTCCTGGGCTTTTCTGGGAGAACAGGCTGCCCAGGGCCTGGCCATGGATGCCAGTCAAAGGATGGAAAGAGGGACTCTTTATAGTGTTTATTCAATCAAGGACCAGTTAGGTGTAGGGTGGGGCAGGTAGGGGAGGACAGAGCTCTCCTTGTCCTGTGGGCATCCCTCTGGGACCAGCCCCCTGAGGCCCAATGGGCCACATACACCCTGGCTTCCACCCAACACCTCCTCCCTCAATGCATCCCCAGGACACAGTATTACAAAAGTTAACAAATGCAATGTTTTTCTTCTTTTTACAAAAAAAAATGACAAGTTTCCATCCCCTGCCGGCAGGGGTGGGGGGGTGGGGGGGTAGGGTCGTTGAAGGGACAGTCCATTACAAAGGCAACAACTTTTATAAAACAAAGACGAAGGAAAGAGCCCAGGGCTGGGAAGCTGAGATGCCGCCTGGGGTGGAGCCTAAGCTCTGATGCGGGTACCTGCCTCCTGATGGATGGGGAAGACAGGCTGTGGAGCTCAGGGCCAGTGGGGGGAGGCATCCAGGAGGCCCCCGGGGGTTTCCAGGACTGCATCAACTTCTTGCCCGAGTCCGTAAGAGGAAGTACACCTCAGGGGTCAATGGATGAATTTCCAGTCTTGACGCTGGGGGCCCGCACGCCAGAGTGGGAGACTGGTCGGGCTTGGGACTGGCATGGCTGAAGCTTCCAGAGGCTCCGCGGTGCACTGACTTAACCTGCGCCACACAGCTAGTTACGGGGCCCAGAGTCCCACCTCCGAGGCCCTTGCCTGTCCTGGGAATGACAGGCAAAGGGCACACATGGCAGGATGAGGGGACCCAAGAAGGGGAAAGAGGGCATGATTTAGAGAAGACAGAAAAGTGCCAAGGGCCTCACTGGGAGGCAGGGTGCTAGGGCCGGCTACGCCTCCGCTGCAGTACCTCAGGTTAGCCATGTTCCTTCTCTAGACCTTAGTTGCCCCATCTGTCACATGAGAAGGCGCACTTGAGTTTTTTCTCTAGTCCCTTCCATGACTAAGGTTCTACCCAGGCTTCTAGAGGAAAAGAAAAGGAGGAGGTGGGTCTCATGTGCCCAGAGCAAAGAGGGGGGCTGCCTCGTAAAAGCAGCCCGTGCCCGAGTGACGGGACCGCGGGCCCCAGGGGGTGCTCGGCCGTGGGCCTGGCTCTGCCCTGTCGCAGCGGCTTCCCTCCCGCCTCCTCCTGTCCCGGGTCGGGCTGGCCCAGGCCTGAGGGAAGGCACTTTGGGGACAAGTGGGGAAGGACAGCAGGGGACTGCTGTCTGGTTTGGCATCGAAGACCTTCTACTTATGGTTTGGGGGACAACACAGACAGAGGGGCAGGACTTTGCTCCTGGGCGCTGCTCCCAGCTCCAAAGCCTCTCCCTACGTCCACAGCTCTCTTCCAATGAGGCTGCCACAGAGGCTTGTTGGGTGCCCCCACCGCCCCCCCCCAGCATTGGCACATGAAAATATAAGTTACCCAGGACCTGAAGGAGCCCGGGGCAGGAGTCCGTTATGTGGCCCCAGGCTGCGCCATGTGTCACAAAGTGTCGGGGCCCTTAGCAGCCGATTCCCGGGTGTCTACGCAGTGCAGGGCCACCTTGGGGCTGGAGCCAGGCTGCCGAGGGTAGGTGCCCTCCCGCACCAGCCGCCGGCAGCGCACAGCCTGGCCCACGCTGATGCTCTGCAGTGCTGGCAGGTGGAGGAGCAACATCTCGGGCAGAGGCACCAGGCCCGTGCCCGACAGGTCCAGCTCCTGCAGGGAGCCCAGGCCTGAGAATACCTCGGCTCCTGCCCACTTGAGCTTCGGGTTGCCTGACAGGTCCAAGACCTGCAAGCTCTGCAGCTCACGGAAGCCATGGGGCGCCAGCTGGGGGAGACCCTGCAGGCTGCCCAGGGACAGGTGCGTAAGGCCCGCCAGCCCCCGGAAGGCGCCTGGGCCAACGGCGGCCAGCGGATTCCCATCCAGGCTCAGGTAGCGTAGGGGCAAGTCCCGGAGGTCGGGTACGGCGCGGAGCCGGTTCCAGGCCAGGTTCAGGCTCTGGATGGTGGGTGTGGGTAGGCCGGCCCCCACAGGGTGCGGCGCGAGGCGGTGGATGAGGTTGTGGGAGAGGTCCAAGTGCAGCGCCCGGGCCTGGCTGTGGGTAGTGAAGGCGGTCACCGAGACCTCCCGGAGCCGGTTGTGGCTGAGATTCACGTCGCTCAGGGGTGAGCTGGTGAAGCTGTCGGCTGGCAGAGCCGCCAGGCCATTGTGGCTGATGTCAAGCGACTCCAGGTAGCGAAGGCGGGAGAAGGCGGTGGGCGAGAGGCTGGTGAGCAGGTTGTGGCTGAGATCCAGACCAGCCAGCGTGGTATAGCCTGGCCCGGCCAGCACCGACTCGTTCACGGTCTCTAGCTGGTTGGAGGACAGGTCCAAGTGGGCTGTGTCCAGAGGGATGGGCACGGGCACGATGTGGGGGCCCAGGCCACTGCAATCCACGCGGGTCAGGCTGAAGCTGTCAAAGAGGCCAAAGGTCTCCACCTCGCACTGGCATCCGGGGAAGCATGGCCGGGCGGTCTGGGCCCCGCTCACAGCCAGCAACAGCGGCAGGGGCAGCAGCAGGGGCCACGGCATGGTGGGGGCTGGAAAGAGAGCCACAGGTGAGGGACGGCAGCAAGCAGGGGTACCCGTGCCAGACGGTTCTCGCCCGACCACAGAAGCCGCGAGCCGGCGTGTCTAGGCAGAGCTGAACGTTGCCACCACCAGTCCTGTCCTCCCAGGATGCTTCCCCTGAACACTCTTCCTCATATAATTCCTGGTCCCCGCTCCTCCCTGGCCTTAGTCTCTCCATCTGTGTGGTGGAGGGGTTAGGCCACATGAGTGAAGCAGCAGAACACTTTCTTAAAAAAAAAAAAAAAAAAAAAAGATCAGCGGGTAAAAGCAGGCATGCTCTGGCTGATGTGAGGGTGGGGACTTGGAAGCTTCCAGGCCTGCTTAAGACCCCGCCAGAAACCTCCTGGACTGGACGGGTCTCTGGCTGGCCTCTCCCGCTGATGGGCTAGGGTGTTCCATCCGCCTCGGCTGAGAAAGTGCTGGGGGCTGGGGACTGCGCTACCTGCCTCCCAGCACGGTCCTACTTAACCCTCACAATGACAGAAACTGCAAGGTAGCTATTTCTGTTGCCGCTTCACGAAGAGAGAACTGAGATGCAGAAGGTTCAGAAAGCTATGCACGGCCACACGTATGGGCGGAAGGACCTGGATGGAGTACAGAGGAAGCATGACTCACTGTCAGGGTTTGGCAGTGGCTGAGCCATGTCTGAGACCCACACTCCAACCCCCAAGACTGAAGCCTCTCCCTGCAAGGGGGGCCCGCAGTGACCATCCCCACCCTACCCCTTTTGTGGGTAACAACATTTCAGTCCCTAGTCCAGAGCCCCGTCCCTGGCCTGGCCTCCAGAGGCAGGATCCTTATTCCAACTGGGGACCCTGTGTCTAGACTTCGAGATGGGCTCTGGGGACAGCTGTCCCAAGCCCCTTCCCCCTTGCCCTGTCCCCACCCACAGCTGATACAGCTATTACCCCTTGTTGGCCCTTTCTTTAGTGGAGGGCAGGCAGCTGGGCTGGTTCCTTCCTTATACAGATGAAGAACTAGAGGCTCAGAGAGGAACAGGGTTTTTTCCTGAACTAGTAAAAGCAGAGCAAGATCAGAACCTAGGCCTGCTCAATCCCAATTCCCCTCTTTTCATCTGCTTCCTCCAGCAGGACTGGTGAGGTAGACAGCAGACACAGGCCCAAGAGGGGCTTCTCCCACTGACATATGCTATGACACAAGCCACGGCCCTCCCCGGCCTCAGTTTCCCTCCCTGTACAATTATAACAGTAGCCGCCAGCGATGCCAGGCACTCTATGCATGTTGTCACGTTCATTCCTCACAGCCCCCCACACCTGTGTGACCCAAAGCCTGAGTTCACGCCCACTGCAGCTCCGACGACGAGGACAGAGGTGCTGAGGAGGGAGGGGCTCACAGGGGGATGAGAGAGGGCAGAGTAGTGAGAGCCTCTCAGTGTGCGGTTACCTACTCCTGCCACAGAGCGGTCACTCCGCCCAGGGGACAGAAGGCACCCAGCCTCGCCCCCAGCAGGTCTCTTCTTCTGGGGTGGCCCTGCCCTGCCCTCCTGCCCAGTCTTCCCACCCCCATCCCTCCCACTGGCCCCCAGGGAGGGAGCAGCAGGATAGCATTACTAGCCCTACATGAAACTTTAAAGGAGCAGCCATCTGATCTGCACTCTGGCTCTGAGCAGGGGCAGCGAGAAGTGGGGCTCTTCCCTCCGCCCCCGCCACGTGGGCCTCTCCTCTCCCACCCCTTTCTTTTGTAGAGTCCAATTTGAGGATTAAACCCGGCCCAGGTGCATCCTGGGCTTGGGCCCAACTGAGGCAGGACAGAGTGTTCCAATGTCTGGAACCAAAAGGAAAATATTGAGTTGCTCCAGGCCCCCTTTGTTCTGCTGGGTGAGCTTCTCACCACAGGGGTTCATTACCACTCAGAGCCCCACCTTCCCTGCCAAGCCGATCTGCTCGTACGCACCCTTCCTGGGGTTTAAACAAACACTACACACACACACACAAAGGCCCCGAGGTTACCCTGTGGTTCCCAAAGGTGATTATGCAATGTGCCTATTAAATGCCAGATGGCCCCTCAGAGAGCTCCTGCTTATGTGACCGGCAGCCCGAAAGCAGCCCAAACCCCCTCCCCTAGAGCAGGGGTCTCTTACCACCCTCCCCAGGCCTCCCCCTGTTCTCTGTACCGCAAGGCAGTCATTCTGGCCCTGCCCTCTTCACACGAGGTGATTCAACTCCCACCAAAGTGCAACGCAAACTGTGAAGAGCTGGGCACAAATGTGAGGTGGTCATTTCCAGGCCACTGGGGACAGGACAGCTGACGTAAAGGGAGCAGGAGTATAGACCGAGACCCGCCTGCATAACCGCGCTTGTGGGCGCTCTCTGAGCGCCCTGGACGAGGTGCCCCGCCCCCCGCCAGCCCCGCCCAGCGGCCGCCTCTGCCAGGGGCCCCATTCTGTGCCAGGCCTGGACACTCCCAGGGGCAAGTGCTGACGGGGACAGTCCGAGCCAGTCCCCACGACGGGCCAATGCTGGACCCACATTGTCTCCCACATCTGCAGCCACTCCAGGAGGTCTGCAGTCTTAGGTCCGTTTTAGAGGAAACGGAGGATGAGAACTGAACTCAGGCCTTGGTAACCTCCTAACTGGTTCGGTTCAAGTGGAACGCGCACTTCTGTCCTTTGGTGGGAAAGGAAGAGGGAAGCGGCCAGAGAACTCAGGCCCGGCGCCACGGTCTTTAATAGTCAGTGGCTCCGGGGCTTTGGTGAGCTCGCAGCAGAGCCCAGAGGCCTCTCCGGGGTGTCCCAGGCAGTCGAGAGAAAGAAATCCCCGAGATGCCTTACAACTTTGGAGGTGTGGGCCGCTGTCTGAGAGTCGGTGTCCCTGTCCTGCCCAGAGGAGATCCCCTCTGGGGTAACATCAGGAGGGGTGCCTCTGTAGGAGTGTCTCAGAGATGCTAGGGCCTGGCACTGTGGCTCCAAGCCCTTAGCAAAAGGCTCAGGAGCCAAGGGGGAAGGCAGAACTTTCTCAGGGGGGAGACTGAGGGAAGATAAGGAATATTCGGGCCAGGGGTGCGGCTCTTTATAGTTCACAAAAGGCCTCTGCTCATTGGCTGCCACGAGGGCCGCAGAGCGGGGCGTGCCACCCGGCACTTGAGTGATGAGGAGCCTGTGACCCACTGTGCAGTGACTTGTCCACAGCCTCGCAGCGAGGTGGTGGCGGCCCATGTTCAGGCTCTGGTCTCCTGATTCCAGGCTTGGGCTTCCCAGCCCACTCAGAATGGCTGTTGAAGTCTCTTAGGGATTTTATGGAGTCCATAAAAATCATGCTCAGAAAAGTCCACAGCCTCATAGAGGGGGCTGATGCCATAATGCTAGGTATCATAAGGATAAATTGCATATCTAGGAAAATTATAACTATGCATTAAAAAGAAAAACACAACAACCAACCCAAATCCTAATTTTGGAAAGTCTAGAAAAAAATATATCCATGCGACAGTAGTTTTTCTTTAGATGGTAGAACTTTGAGCGATTTAAACATGTTTTAATCTGCTTTTCTCCCATTTCCTCTCTTACAGGAGAAATATATATAAAACACACTGACAAACCCACAGAGCCTCCTAAAAGACCACGGCCATCTCTGCTTTCTCTGATCTTGGCTAGCCACAATCCCTGAGCCTCAGTCTCCCCATCTGTAAAATGGAGATGTGAATAGCCAGCTCACGGGACTGTGGTGGAGACGAAATAGAATGGTGGCAACGAGGCCTCTGGCAGGCTTCCTAGCACATGGGAAGACTGCAGTGTGGTCTACCCTGCCCTCCCCCACAGACTGGGAGCTGGTGGGTGGGGGCCAGCAGGCGGGCCTGACCCATCTCTCTTCCTCCTTCCTTCGGCACACATGTATGAAATGTGTCAAAGCTCTTATCAGCACCCTCTGGGAGAGCAGTTCTTTCCTGGGTGGCACACTGTTTCCACAGGACTGCTGGATCTGTGAAGGGATGAGTAATGTTGAGTTCCCCTTGACGGAAACCACTAGCCTCAGCTCCGTGGAGAGGAAAGGCCTTCACAGAGAGCCAGAATCCTTGGACGCTAACTTGCAGTGTGAACCAGGCAAGTCACTTTACCTTTCTGGACCGGTTCCTTAAACTATGAATCTGGGATGGTAATGATGGTCCCATCAGCCTCAGAGGGGACAGGTGTGAAGAGGAGACTGGGAAGCTGATTATTCCCACTGAGAAATGAGGCCCTGGGGGGTGGAGGCCACGTGATGGAAAGATGGCACCTTTTGATCTGACCTACAGCCATATCCACTGTGGAGGTCATTGCTCAATCACCGCACCGCTTCCTGGGGAACCTGCACAGGGCCTCAGAGCTTTTCCTGACATGGTGCTTTGGAGGCCTCTGCCCACTGGGCAGGGGTGGCCCTCCAGAGGAGAACTGTCATTCTGGGATCAATTCCCTGCTCTGAAGAAGCTATGATCCTGGCAACTGGAGTCACGTGCCAAACCAGGCAACTCGGGGAAACAACTTCCTCTTTCTCAGCCTGTTTCCTTACCTAAAACGGAGACAACAACCCCTTCCTCAAGGGATCGCTGTGAGGACCAGAGACCACAGTGCGAGGAGCTGACGGAAGTGCAGTTGATGAGGGCTGGTGCCTCTCCTGAGCCGTAGGGTAGAAGGAGCCCCGCGAGGGCCCTCCCCCATCCCCTTCACCACTCTCTGGGGACTGAAGGGGAGGCGACAGGGTGACTGTGTGTGGTGACAAGACAGACCCTGGAGGACAGTCAGGAGCCCCAGCCTGGTCTGCTCACACCCGTGGACGGGTCCCCTCTCCTCTTCGTGCCTCAGCTCCTCTGGCTTCACAGTGAGAGGTTTAGCCGAGCCCCTGCAGCTCCAGCGTCTCAGGAGGGCAACACGTACCAGAAGCATTTACTAAATCTCTACTGAGTGCAGGGCGCTGTGCAAGGCCATGGGAGGTGCATGTTGGGCGGGGCTGGGGGGACCAGGCCCCTGTCCTCAAGA